CAACGTCTCAAATCGCGATTTCGATTCGATTTCGATTAATGTCTCTGACATAGTGATAACACTCGTTGCCTTCTCTAGTGCAGCTCAACCAGGTCTCGTCCCATTCGTCGATCTTTGTGATATCACAAATCCCGGAAAATGTGCGTTGTAGTCCAAACGAGTCGTTCGTTGTAGTTTTTGAAAAGTGATTTCTGTTAAATAAAATATCTCCTTTTGAAGTGGACTTTGAGCTTTGTAACTTTGCAGATCTTTTTTATGCTCAAACAGCAACATTACAGACTAACTAAAGTTGAAAAAGTGAAAAAGCATAATAGGACCCCTTTAAAGTTCAGTGCAATCTATATTACAGCTGTCTATGTGAACCATGCAGACTATATTAGAGCACAGAAAAACAAAGGTTTCGCTGAAAAATGCACAATACACAATCTTCCAGCCTAGGGTGAAGTCATTATGTACATTAACACTGATTTGGGACAAATATAATTTAATGGAAAACTGTGTGAATGGTGCTCTGTGGTGTGGCAGGATTTCTGCCGGCTGCATGAACACATCATTGTGCTTTCTCACATCACTAGCTTTATATATGCAACTTTGCTGGCTAACAAATATATTAATGTCTCCAGCTGGATTGTAACAATCATGACGTTATACATTTGGGCTGTGCTTGCATGTGTTTTAGTCACACTGTTTTAACCACTTGTGGTGCTGCTAATGTTAGCATCATCTCAGACTTGACAGCAAACATACTGCTGCCCTTTTTCCACTAATGCACCATCTAGTCAACAAATGAATTACTTTGTAGTCATATGAAAACATGTACTATATAGAATACTGTATACACACCTTTTCTGTTTTAAATCTGCATCTGAAATGTCCTGCTCTGTGCAGCGCACAGTCTCATGTGCCAAAACAAACAGCACAAGGTGTCAGTGATTCAGCCTCTAGAGGCCACTCTCATAATGTATAATGACAGCAGACCCTTCTCTCCTATCAGACCCTAGCCACTCCAGCAAAGTACATAACCCAGAAAAACTATTGGCATGGAGCCGATTTTGCCAATTGCCAACAGCTGATAGTTCCAGCAATCTATTATCGGTGCCGATTAATCTGCAAAACTGATCAAATGGTCGACCTCTATTAAAAACCATGATTGCATCATACATTGGACAGCATTATCAAGCCTGGGATCATTGATTATGTGAGTTTTACTTTGCCATGAACACAGCCCAACAAGAAACCATTTACCTAAATTCATTACTTCAGAGTTATGTGCCCTCTAGAAGCTTGAGTTCTGCAAGTAAACGGCGTATTATTGTGCCATCTAAAAGAGGCACAAAATCACTTTCACAGACTTTTTCATTAACTGTTCCCTCCTGGTGATATACACACACCTTGCTACGTGTACTGCGTTAGGCTAACCGAGACTTGTCATTTGCACTTATATATTGTTGCTCTTTTGTTAGTTTTGACTGCTTTTATTGTCGTCATTTGTAAGTCGCTTTGGATAAAAGCTTCTGCTAAATGACTAAATGTAAATGTAAATGAAACCAATGGAGAAACACCGGTGGAGCTCATGAAAGATAGGACGCTCAAGGGACCACTAGTAAGGCCGTTCCACAGAACTCCTTTGCTTAAAACACGTGGTCTGTTGCATGAAGCTAGCTGAACAATCTCAGAGTTTCAGAGTAGTCTGGCAATTTTGTCTCTAAAATTCTTTGACTGTAAACTGCTTTCATTTGAAGTGAGAGATGGAGGAGTGGCTTTATTGCATCAGATATATGTCACTTTGCTAACAGCTGATTAGTCCAATTTGGGTTTGCGATCTCTAACCCAGAATAAAACCTGCTCTGGAAACCAAAACCGGCTTTGTGCAAAAGGCCTCTGCTCTCTTCTGCATCAAACTAGTTTTCCACTAAGCTAGCGCCAAAGTCGGCGGGTCCAGCTGAAATAATTGGTAAAACGGGGCTAATAAATTACACTGCTTTTGGATTTATAACCTTTGAGGACAGTAAGGAATAGTTCACCCAAAAATGAAAATTATGTTAGTTACTTACCCTCAAGTTGTTATGAACCCTCAAATTGTTTTGCAGTGCATTTTGGGTGAATTGTTCCTGTTTTTTCTAACATTGTTGTTTGATTTTCTCATGAGAGTAAAGGTGTGCTAGGAAACTTAATTAAGTCCAATTAGAATGAGCTTAGAAGTGCTCATCTATTATCCTTTAGGAACTTCTCCTGAGACTTTCAAGTGTCACACAGTGGATGTTCATGCGTCACAAAAAAAACATGTTTTTATTATGTGTGTGTGTGTGTGTGTGTGTGTAGTCTGACAGTACGCTCTGCTAAGGAGGAAAAAAATCTGACGACGATCTCCGAAAATGAAGAGGACGTTGATACCAACCAAATGTAAGTTGTATTATAAATTTAATATCTTAAATGACATGATATTGCAAAGAGGATTCACTTTTAAGAACTTTCCTCTTAGGAATTTTGAATGGGGTCCTGATATGCCTTTTTTATTATTTTAATATGTTTCTTGAATGTTACTTGAATTTTTGAGTTTCTTGATTTATTTATTTTTTTTTCTTCAACCCACATTCTTCCTAGTCGTTGGAATTTTGATTTACTCCAGTGACTGGAGTCTCTTGAATCCATTTACCAAAATGTTTTTTCAGACTCCACTGATTTGTTCAGTGACCATAATACATATTGGTGCCAGTAGGTGGAGACAAATGAATGTTATGTAATAATATATATGATGATTAGTTATATAATGAACGAATCAATATTACCTCGATCACGTCACAACAAAAACAAAACAGGTTGACAATTATATGCTGTAATACCTTTCTAATAACCAAGAGTGACATTTAAGCAGTGGTGGAAAGAGTACTGAAAATTTGTACTTAAGTACAAGTACTGGTACATTGCTGAAATAATACTCAATTACAAGTAAAAGTACTGGTGTCAAAACAGTACTTAAGTAAAAGTACAAAGTACTCCTCTCAAAAACTACTCAGAGTACTAGTTACTAGTTACTTTTTAGCTGGCAATATTTAATAAATTACCAAAAAATATTCATATCAAAGATCTATGTGGATAATAGCTACTTTGAACAAAACCCACTTTTATCTTATTGACAAAGTACGTGAATTAGTGCTCATATGATACAGGAATTTCTAACTTCAATACCTTGAAAAATATCAATATCAAAGTACCCGTGAACCGGAAGTTGCAACTGACTTCAGTGTTGTGATGTATTTCCAAGTGAAATGGAATATTGAATAAAGGGCGGGGTTTTATTGCGGTGCACCTCCACTCCACCTCTTGCTCATAGCAGATTCACGGTTGGATAGGTGTGGTTAAGAATATCTGCTTGTTATGTCTGGCATCACGCTTCACCGCTTCTGGGTCCTAACGCTCTGCCAGACACCCCAAGAAAACACCAAACTGTTCTAATATACATCCACAATGTCATGTAATGCTGAATAATTATAACCCTAACCTTTATCTCCATACTGAAATCCCAGATGGCCTGACAGTGATTCAGCTAAAATATTAGTGTCTGAGACACTGTCAGCACGGAGACTGTAGTATGCACAGTGTAGTAAATTAGCTCTTTTCAGAATTTGAATCTAAAGATTCGGAGTCAACCTGATTAAAACCGATTCAAAATTGATAGTTTACACTTTATCAACTGTTCGTCCAGCGAAACATTAAAGATCAGTATATCTTAACAATTTTGATATTTGTATTATGCCCTGGCCAAGGTCACAATAACTGTTAGGGATGATTTATTAAGCTACGAGCTAGGTAGCAAGATCTGGGCAAAGTTTTAACTTTAAAATATACAACACAAGACAATGATTATAATTAAAGAATTTATTTGCTACTCTAAGGATACATTAACAACCAAAAGCACACAGACACACACACACACATACGCACACACACATACAGTTCAGAGGATGCGAGTTAGCGGAGTTTGACTGAAGTCCCAAAAGTCTAGTATTTGCTCCTAGTTCTTAAATCGCAACCTGAGAGAATCACAAAGCAGAGATTTGCGTAAGATCAATTCAGCACCGGTTTCAGCAGAGACTTCACTCGTACTGCGTCTTGTTAAGACGCTATGGGGAAAAACTCATTTTTCTCCGAATACTGAAACCTTTAAATAACGCAGTGTAACTGCATGGCCATTGGTTCGTGCATTGAATTAAAAAACGAACCAATGGCTCGGCAGCGGAGCTGCACGAGCCTTTGGCGACTAAACCCACCAGAATGGGCGGGGCATCTGGCTATATAATCGGCACTTCACCATAGGATCCTCAGATTTCTTCTCCTTCAGCGGCAACTAAGTTCTTCGCTGATCTACGAGTCTCGAAGCCTCTCACCGTAGAATCGCCTTCGCAGCAGATCAAGCTGAACCAGTGACCCTCTGCTCAGCTGATTCGCCGCAGCTTATCCCCTGCCGCCATCCGGTGAGCCTAAAAGAGCTTATTTCTAAGAGGTAAGTTCTAAAAGAGCAAAATTTCTAGTGACGTTGTTGCAAATGTCGCGCTGCGAGTGTGGCTCGTGCACGGAATCTTGCACGATGCAGAAGGGCAGTGAGTGCGTCGCCTGTCTGGGCAGCCCCCATGCAGAAACTGCACGCTCACTGAGACTGAATGCTCTCGCTGAGAGCATGAGTCTCGCTCTTCTCCACTCGCGGACTGCCTTCATTGAAGACAGTCCCGCTCTCCCGTTTCTCCTCTCTCAGAAAGCCTCGGAGAGAGAAACAGTGGAGTCAGGGAACTAAGCAACCGGGTCTGAGCGATCGCATGCCGGCACTGTACCCGCGTGCTCGCTCTCCCCGCTGCACTTTAATCCAACGCAGAAGGGCAGTGAGTCTTGCTCTTCTCCACTCGCGGACCACCTTTATTGAAGAACTTAGTCGTCTTCCATTTCTCCTCTCTCAGCGAGCCTCGGAGAGAGAAACCGCGAAGTCTGGGAGCTAAGCAACCGGGTCTGAGCGATCTCACGCCGACACAGATCCTGTGTGCTCGCTCTCCCCACTGCGCTTCGATCCGTGTCTGACACATGAAGATCAGCGCCCCTCGTTACTCGAGCGGCTCTATCCTCTTAGGTGGATCGAAGCAGAACGCTGTCACTGACAGCTTCGAATTTGTGTGTGTGTCGCTATGGCTGCGCTCACAGAGACAGGCTGCTTTTACCACGAAAGCAGTCTGTCCCTGTTCATTCGCGGAAGGCGGCCCCGCCTCCCCGCTCTCATGTTTCTCTCCTCCCAGTTACCTCGGAGGAAGCAATGGCGAGCTCGCGGGTTGAGCGATCAGGCTTGAGCAATTTCATGCTGGCACACATCATGCGTGCTTGATCTGCCGGTGTGTGTTACACGTGAGGATCAGCGCCCTTCTTTACACAGAGCGGCTTAATCCTCCTATAGGCAGATCAAAGCAGAACGCTGGCAGCTTCGCATTTGTGTGTGCGTCGCTGAACCCTGCTGAGCCCGCTCTTGTGTTTCTCTCCTCCCAGTTACTCGGAGGAAGAAATGGCGAACTTGCGGTGATGAGCGATCAGCATGAGTGATTTTAACACCGCAAAGCCCCCGCGTGCATCACTCTCCACGCAGCTCTTTGATCCGCCAGTGTGTTTACACGTGAGGATCGGCGCCTCTCATTGTCGAGCAGTGCAATCTGTTTATGAGGATCGGAGCAGAAAGCTGTCACCAATGATTCAATATTGCTGACAACTTCGTATTTGAATGTGCCTCTCACCTGGGCCATGCCCACGTTGAGGCTGCACTCACTGAGACAGATCACTCTCACTACGAGAGTTCATGTCTCGCTCTGCTTTGCTCGCGGCTCGTCTTCAATGAAGGCGGCCCCGCCCCGCCCCTCCCCTCGTCCGCTACGAGTGGATCTGAGAGAATGCGCGCAGCACTTTTGATCTGCCTGAGTGTTTACACATAAAGATCATCAGTACTCCTCTTCTAATGAGTGGTTTGATCTTTTTACGTGCATCACTCTCCACGCAGCTCTTTGATCCGCCAGTGTGTTTACAGTGTGTGTTTGAATGCGCCTCTCGCCTGGGCCACGCCCATGCTGAGGCTGCACTCACTGAGACGGATTCCTCTCACTACGAGAGTTCATGTCTCGCTCTGCTTTGCTCGCGGCTCGTCTTCAATGAAGGCGGCCCCGCCCCGCCCCTCCCCTCGTCCGCTACGAGTGGATCTGAGAGAATGCGCGCAGCACTTTTGATCTGCCTGAGTGTTTACACATAAAGATCATCAGTACTCCTCTTCTAATGAGTGGTTTGATCTTTTTAGGCGGATTAAAAGAGAATGCAGTCACTAATGATTATCACTGACAGCTTCAAATTGGACGCGTCTTGGACCACGCCCACGCTGAGGCAGTGGGCACGGGGGCTGACTGCTCTCGCTATGAGAGCATTAAGTCTAGTGAAGCATTTTTTTAAAGCGTTTTAAAAAGAGAGCAAAATTCCTCTTCTGAGGGTGGGGTCCCTATACGGCGACCAGCCACTCGAATTAATCCAACACCTTGTCACGTGGGCTGAGGCCTGGCAGGCCATCGCCGGAGTGCCAGACTGGGTTTTGGGGATAAAAAACGAGGTTATTCACTGCAATTCGCTCAAAGACCTCCGCGATTCAGCGGTGTGCTTCGCACCTCAGTTTAGAGCAAAGATGCACACGTCCTGTGCTCCGAGGTGATGAATTTGTTGGCAATAGGAGCTGTAGAAACGGTTCCCCCAGCTCAAAGCGAGTCAGGCTTCCACAGCCGCTATTTCCTTGTCCCCAAAAAGGATGGCAATCTAAGGCCCATCCTCGATCTCAGGCACTTGAACCGCGCCTTCATGAAACAGCTGTTCAGGATGATTACATTGAAACAGATCCTCTCGTAAGTGTGCCCAGGGGACTAGTTCTTTTCACTGGATCTGAAAGACACCTACTTTCACATCCAGATAGCCCCCCACCACAGACGATTCTTGAGATTCGCCTTCAAGGGAGTGACATATCAATACACGGTCCTTGACTTTGGACTGTCCCTAGCTCCTCACACTTTTGCATGGATGCGGCAGTTTCCCCGCTGAGACAAATGGGAATCCGCATTTTGAATTACCTCTGACTGGCTCATCTTGGCCCAGTCGGAGGATGAGCTACTATTTCACAGATCCTTCCTCCTCAGCCACTTAGAATGCCTGGGACTCAGGGTCAATTTTGCCAAGAGCACGCTGTCCTCCAGCCAACGGATATCGAAACAGACTAATATTAGCGTAGATGCCATTCTTTTAACGATGTAGCAAGTACATCGGGTGTTCTGGGAAGTGCTCCCGGTTCCGGTTGTCCTAATTAATGCAGCCTAAAAATCCTTTAATGGATTTGAATATTAGAA